TAGTCAAAGGTCATTTTGGAATTAGACAATAATGAATAGGTTATTTCCTTGTATTTCCTCTACTGTTGAAAACGATAATTGTCGCTGATTTGACGGCGGCGATGCCAAAGGAGAAAAAATGGGAAAAGCTAGGGTTTTCAATTTTTGGGTGGAGACGGGGGCTTGGGTGCAATTATGATAAAGTGAGCCCTTTTCTTACAGTTATCTTGGACTAATTTGCATTTTAAAAAAGTTTAGAAGCATATTGCAATTTATTCTTTATTTTACTTTTCTTTTCTTTTTTGTTTTATTTATATAGGAGGGTATAATGGTCATTTTATGTTAAAAATTGGTGAAAAAGATGTTCAGCGCAAAAAATGTGAAAGGTAGGGACGTTCTGTGCCGCCCTTTTCTTACAATTATCTTGGACTAATTTGCATCTTAAAAAAGTTTAGAAGCATATTGCAATTGCAATTTATTCTTTATTTTTCTTTTCTTTTCTTTTTTGTTTTATTTATATACGAATGTATAATGGTCATTTTATGTTAAAAATTGGTGAAAAAGATGTTCAGTGCAAAAAATGTAAAAAGTAGGGACGTTCTGCGCTAAAAAAGGAAACGTATGGACGTTTTCCCCAAAAATCTTCAAAAGTGGGGACGTTTTGCGCCAATTACCCTATATATTTTATGAAATTTACAATTTTTCAACCACACATTCCATTAACTTTTATTAAATCTATTAAAAATCTAATTAGGATGCGTGTTCAAGCGTAATTTTTATATAGGTGAAATAAAGAGGATTAAATCAAAGTTTTTGTTTATGAAAATAAAAAATGGCTGAAATTTTTTTAAAAATGAATTTAACAAATAATTGCAATTTTTTTTGGAAAAGAAATCCCATAATTTGAAAGAGCTGGATATTTCATCATAGATATTCTGTAGTTCCTCTGACATATGCATGGATTTTGATATAAACGAATCATTCGCCCTCTTTGTATAAATCGAAAACGATTTAAATAAATTTGCAGGAACGATTGCCACCCTGACCGACACATGGCTGTGGCTCCCATAGAGAAATTTGTTTCAATAAATACTGTTACCCCTCAAAATCAGAGGCTCTAGGCAACACTCCACGTGGACTGCCACGTACACAGCATATCTACATGGACTGCCAGCATTCCTTATAGTCAAGCAAAAGCATAGCCAGTTGAAAAGTCAACGGGGGAGTCAACAAAGTCAAGGAAGACGAGGAGGCTATTGTCCGAAGACATACAAGTGCCAAAGCTGTATTTATCCAATGTCCCCTTCAGCTCAAATAATGAAGGTCTGCTTAAAGCCCTTCTATGTGATGCAGAGGCTCCTCATGTCCGAAGTACGAAGCACCGAAACTCAACTGTACCAGATGTCCAAAAGTCCGAAGCTGACCTCAACACACTAATGCCGACGCTGCCTCCCAACAGATTAGAAGATCTCATAGAACTGATTGATGGGACGTCTGTAATAAAGTGTTTGTAGCTTTTAATATGTCAGTGTGTTAGCCTATTAATAGCACGGCTGACCCTTTGTCAAACNTTTTAATAAGTCAGTGTGTCAGCCTATTACTAGCATAGCTGACCCTTTGTCAAACATTGAATACAATGAATGGACAGGGATGTAAGTCTTTGGTCTAGGAGATGTTGCCATGTGGATGTGATCGGACGGTCACCACATCGGCTAGGTTAGTATAAATAACCTCTCTTTGTACTAAAAACGGGGACATGCAATCAAGAAATAAGAACATCTTTATACGCTTAGCTTTGTTTTACAATACATAAGAAAGAACACACGTTGATATTCAAAGAATATACAATACATTTTCATATCTATCGTTCCACATAGTCCATTACGAAATGAGTGATTTAATTAAACGGATTAAGCATTCGTTGATAGCGCGAGTGCTTCTCAAACCCAATCGCCGGAGTCCGAACATTTGTGTCTCTCGTCGAAAAGTGCCTCTCACGTTCATTACAATCAAATCTATGTTCCTATTCTGGAAGAAACGTGCCGGATCAGCACTTGGTGTGGCAAGAGTGGGGCCGACATCTGTTGAGTTCATTTTTTGGGGTCAACAGATTGGCACCGTCTGTGGGAAGTCTGACATTTAACCACGAAACACACGTGGAAAAAGAAAAAGATACGTTTATGAAAAAGTTTCTTATCCTTGANTTTTAATAAGTCAGTGTGTCAGCCTATTACTAGCATAGCTGACCCTTTGTCAAACATTGAATACAATGAATGGACAGGGATGTAAGTCTTTGGTCTAGGAGATGTTGCCATGTGGATGTGATCGGACGGTCACCACGTCGGCTAGGTTAGTATAAATAACCTCTCTTTGTACTAAAAACGGGGACATGCAATCAAGAAATAAAAACATCTTTATACGCTTAACTTTGTTTTACAAAACATAAGAAAGAACACACGTTGATATTCAAAGAATATACAATACATTTTCATATCTATCCTTCCACATAATCCATTACGAAATGAGTGATTTAATTAAACGGATTAAGCATTCATTGATAACGCGAGTGCTTCTCAAACCCAATCGCCGGAGTCCGAACATTTGTGTCTCTCGTCGAAAAGTGTCTCTCACGTTCATTACAATCAAATCTATGTTCCTATTCTGGAAGAAACGTGCCGGATCAGCACTTGGTGTGGCAAGAGTGGGGCCGACATCTGTTGAGTTCATTTTTTGGGGTCAACAGATTGGCACCGTCTGTGGGAAGTCTGACATTTAACCACGAAACACACGTGGAAAAAGAAAAAGATACGTTTATGAAAAAGTTTCTTATCCTTGAAAAAGAAATATCCTTGCAAAAAGGAATCAGCAAGAACTTGAAACCCCTGAAAAAGGGAACCAGTCGTATATTACATAACCAAAAAATGAGTTCCACTGAAGAAAATGCCCCTAGAAAGATGAGGGAACGCCCTGAAAAAGGAGAACCCTCACAAGCTACCCCGGTAGCCCAACCGAAACCTCCAATGCGCAGAAGAGGAGGTCCCAAGGGTGGAGGTGAAGTTACAGCCAGGTTAACTAGAGAAATGGCAACAATGGCTGCCAACATGAGGAATATCACTCAGTAGAAGCAAGCCATGCATGAAATGTTGATGCACATGCGAGAACAAGGAGGCTATTAGGCTCCTCAATATACAGCTCCCAAAGATGTATTCCCAGATGCTCATGCTTATTACCACGAGGAAGAGGAGGTCCAGAGTCAAATGGAGGGACATCGCCATTACGGGATGGAAGCTCCTCAGGAAGACGAGGACGAAGTGGATTAGTCAAATAATCACGCCTCGGAAAGGCTGCGGGAAGACAGACTTCAGAGGTCCGGAAGC